TTCACTTCCAAATCCTGTTTTACCCTCCTTTTTTCTCTTTAACTTCCAAATCTTCCATTACCCTTCAGGTTATTTCTTTTTAACTTCCAATTCGTGTAATTCCCTCAATATTTTTCTCTTGCACTTCCGAATCATACTCTGACTTTTTTTCGAATCCCATCATCAGTTTTCCACAATCCAATCCTACTAGTTCATCAGTTTTCTACAATCCAATCCTACTAGTTCATCAGTTTTCTACAATCCAATCCTACTAGTTCATCAGTTTTCTACAATCCAATCCTACTAGTTCATCAGTTTTCTACAATCCAATCCTACTAGTTCATCAGTTTTCTACAATCCAATCCTACTAGTTCATCAGTTTTCTACAATCCAATCCTACTAGTTCATCAGTTTTCTTCAATCCAATCCTACTAGTTCATCCAATCCAATCCTACTAGTTCATCAGTTTTCTACAATCCAATCCTACTAGTTCATCAGTTTTCTACAATCCAACCCTACTAGTTCATCAGTTTTCTCCAATCCAATCCTACTAGTTCATCCAATCCAATCCTGCTAGTTCATCAGTTTTTAAATCCCCTATTCATCATCCCTTCTCATATAATTTACTTGTACACGTCATATTTAATTATATATAATTATTAAAGATATTTTATTTTATATTTTGTAAAATCAATGCAGGAAATTATAATTATAGGTTCGTTAATATATCGGGTGAGTGTAAAAAAAAGCTGGTATTTTTTCCTCCAAAGTTCATATGATTAGCACAATTTCATCTTTTTAGCACAAATTTGATCAAACTCCTCTATTTACTAAAGACTGTTCAATAAAGTACACGTTAGCATATTTGTAAATATATGTGTCTTTTATAATTACATTTTCTATTTTTTTTAGATTTTTGTGCATTTTTATAGAAAACTCTAGTTGCAACGTAAATAATTTTATAAAAATCCCTCATTATTATGCTTTCCTATTATGCTTTCTTTTTGTAATTATATTATGATTAAAAACCATGTTCCACTGATTACAGTTCTGATTAATAAAATCTTTTTTTGTAGTTTTGATTAAATTCTCTCTTGCTTTTGATGTTTTATTCATTTTCCTCCATTGTGTTTCTTTTGTTTAACTTCAACAATTTAGATATTTAGATCTGATTGTACTTTTGATTAAAAGAATTGTTGAAATATTTAAAAATTGAATTCCTCCAGATAAATGATAAAATTTAAAAATTCTTGGTAGATATTATTGAACAAATTTTTTTTAATGATTCATATTTTAAAGAATTGATAAAAAATCATGAGCCCAGGACCCATTTTGATTGGGGAACATGGAAGAACTACGGGAATACTCAAAGCTTTGTTTTAATGTTGAGTTTAATAGAAAAAGTTTGAATCTTCAGGAAAAGCTGGGTTCCCAAGCTGGTTTTCTATAAATCTACATATACAAGGCTATTAGGGCGCTTCGCACCCATCTTCCATTTCCATTGTGAACATCATAACATATTCTCTTTGTGAAAATTGTAAAACAAAAACAAAACAAAAATTTCGTGGATTTAAAAAAATTTTTTAAATAGAATTTTGATGGAGGCAAATTTTTGAAAATTTGATCATCCATAAATCTTCCCTGGGGTCACGCAAGGTCCAAAAAAATTGGACCTGATCAGTTCAGCCGTTTTTATGTTTATTGGACACAAACGGACAGACAGACAGGAAAAGCAAAGTATATATTTAGATATGTCAAGTTAGTAATCTCTGTTTGAGTGTCTGTTTGTTTGGATCATAACTCATAACCCCAGACCAATTTGCTTCATAAATGTTCTTTTAGCTTGGTTTGAACATTTTAAGTTAAGTAGAGGTCGACTTTTTCAGGAAAACTTATTTTCTAGGTAAAGCTGGGAAGCTATATCAGTATCTAAAGTTTCATGCTCAGGATACACTTTAAATGTGCTTTATGAACGAAGGAATGGGGGGGGGGGTAATATGCTATATGAAGTGGGTGGGGGGGTAATGTTTTTCAGTGTTTACAGTGCATAAATTAGGGATTTTATCGTAGTCTCAAGATTACCCATAATTCAGGATTGTATATTCTCTACAAGTTGTTTTTACATTAAAAAAAAAAATTACAAGTTGTCTTCCCTCCCCCCCCCCTCTCCCCTTTTCTGTTTCGCATTTATGTTGTAATAATATTTCCCCCGGATTTGAAAGACTGTTTATATCATATAAAATGTTTGCCTTGATTTTATTATAAGCTCCGGCACTTAATGCTCTTCTCATAGAAGGGTTTTATTTAATAAATCAAAAATATCATCTGCGTTTATTACAGAATACAGGAGTTGGGGAAAACTTGAGCTAGAAGTTTCAACGAGATTGTGAGGAAAGACTAGCTAGAAAATGGCCTAAATTGTTAAATTTCAAATTAATGATTGACGGGTTTGTGACTATGAGTACCCGGTGTTGCCCAGGTGTATAGTATTGTTCATAGTCATAGTTTACCCTCGGTAGGTATTCAATATGGTTTTAGCTAAAGATTCAAAAAAAAAAAAAAAATGTCACCCCTCGAGTACCAGTGGGTTCCCTCAAAAAAGGTTAGCCCATTGCCGTTTGGCCGGCTATGAATAAAACAAATTTATGTCTATAAATGAGCGAAGAGCTTAAATTTTTAGTTTTTTATTTAAAAACAGTTCAGATATAATTCAAAATTAGTTGAATCTAAGATAAAAAGAGAGAAGCAAACTTTGATTAATAGTGAAAGGTTAAACTAGGTACGGCTAGTTAAACTACTGATGCACTTTCTGCCTCACAAGAAAAGTAGTTTAACTACCTATATAGAGTTCAACGAGGGGAGGAAGGCCAACCACATCAAACTCTAGTCCGAACCACATTCTCCTCATTTTCTCGTCCGAACCACCTCGGAATCCTCGTCCTTCGATTATTTTGTGTTAAAAAGTTTCCAATTCTTGAAGATAAAACTATTTTTTTTAAATCTGGCCACATTAGGGCATAAAATATGGAAAAATTCTATGGTTTTCACTAAAGTTAACAAAAAAGATTAAAGTTTTATACACTTGGAATTATTTGCGGCATTCCACACCAGGAATATCTGAAAATGCGCGTAAAAAAGGTGAACATTTTTTAAGACATTAAACTTGAAATCTTTAATTCAATTGAAACTTTTTTTTTCGATTTACAAAAATTTTATATTTCATTTATGCCCTAACGTGGACCGATTCTTTAAAAATAGTTTAATCTGGAAGGATTAGACACTTAAAAAAAATAATATTGAAAGGAAGAGGATTTCGAGGTGGTTCGGACGAGAAAATGAGGAGAATGTGGTTCGGACTAGAGATTGATGTGGTTGGCCTTCCTCCCCTCGTTCAACTACTTCTCTCTATTCATAAAATGTGTCTGTAGAAACCTGGAGAGATAAAAATTAACTTAAGAAAATCAACAATGCAAGAGAATGCAAAAATAAATCTAAAAAGTTTGTTTCTCATGAAATCCACTGCTGCTGCAGTTCGTCTTTAAAACTCGAAATGCAAAAGTTCAATCATGCAAACTTATAACTGCATTCTGCAAATCTAGGATTGTGCAAATATACAATATCTTCTATCTCCCTATCCTACTTCTATCCTTGATAGATATGATCTACATATACGGAGCTTTTTATAATAATACGCCCTGTTTTTCTGTCTATTAGTATAATTGACTATATCCGTGGCAGTTTATCCGTCTACTTAGATTTCTATCTGTCCTATTTAGATTTCTATCTGTCTACTTAGATTTCTATCTGTCTACTTAGATTTCTATCTGTCAATCTAAATTTTTATTTGTCTGCTGTCTATTTAGCTTTTTATTTACCTAGTTTGCACTTATTATTCTATTTACTTGTATGCTAATATTTCTAAATATCCGTCTGCTTAGATTTCTTATCTGTCTGCGTCGTTTGACATACATCTGTCTGTTAACCTTTTTATTTATTTGTCTACTTAGATTAATATCTTAGCTCGATATTTATCTGTCTGTTAACCTTTTTATTTATTTGTCTACTTAGATTAATATCTTAGCTCGATATTTATCTGTCTGTTAACCTTTTTATTTATTTGTCTACTTAGATTAATATCTTAGCTCGATAGTTATCTGTCTGTTAATCTTCTTGTTTATCTGTCTGCTAATCAATCTATTTATCTGAATGCTTAGCTTGATATTTATCTGTTTCTTTACATTTCTATCTATCTGTTTTGTCTGATATATTTCTATTATCTGTCTTAGATTTCTATTGATCTGCTTACTAAGCCTATTGTTTATCATATTTTTAAGGTTCTTCAAACTATTGCAATTGGTCGTCTCTATTCTTTTCATTTGCAGAGACTTTAAAAAAAGAGAACTCACCCTTTTTCAGTAAAGATTGCAATATTTCTCTTCGATAAATGACGGGTGTATGAGCGATCAAAAAAATGATCTTTCTGAAAATCGCCAAGTTGTTAGATAATTGCATCTTTTGGACATTTTGTTTGAACAAGAGCAAACAATCTTAAGGTATACAAAAAGCCTTCATTTAAAAGTTTCCAGCTTATCTAAACACATCTAACTGTTTACAATGGTCTTCCGTTTAACGTAACACTCGGGGTAAGCAACAGTTTTTTTTATTAATACTAGGCTTTTAGGGCGCTTCGCGCCCATCTTCTATTTAAATTGTGAACATGTTTTTTTGTTTCCATTTTAAGACAAAGAAGAAACAAATTTTGCTGATTTAAAAAAAAAAATTCGCGGATTTTCAAGAATTTAATTTTTTTACAAAATTAAAAACCTTTAAAACACATTTTTTTGTATCGTTCATAAACCTTCACTGTGGTCACGTGATGTCCCACAAAAAATTTGGGCCCGATCGGTTCAGCCGTTTTGACGTTTATTGGATACAAACAAACAAACAGACAGACAAGCCAAATTTATATATAGATGATAATTAAGCTCTTCTCTTCTCTTTTCTCTTCTAAATATTCATTATTTTCAGAGTGTATATATTGACTATATTTATAAATATCATCAAATACATTTTATCTAAACAGCCAAATATGTAAATGGTTTCTCAGCAGAATGGATTGATATGTAAACACCTAGGGGTTAAGTAAGCAGGGTAAAATCGAACAAATATAAAAATGTAAAGGCGGGCTAATTAAACAACGTCTTTTGGTGTACACTGTACACTGTACAATATGCACTAACCGTGTCTGTGCATCACTGTACAGATTAAAGGAGAATATCTCCATTATAAATATATCACTATTTTTTTAGTCTAAACCAGTTTAAACTAGCTGAAGATCATTCTCCAGCAAGTGTGCACAGTCTATCCTCCCCATGCCGCGTAGGATTCCCAATAATCCCTGGGTGGCGCTGCTCTCCCGATTTCTTGCCTCCCACAAGTTCAAGATCGCCTCTGTTGGACTAGGACGGCTGGCAAAGAATGCTGTATATCTGTGAACATTTAATCGTTCAGCAAGCAACCGCCAATCATTACCGCCGGCCACAGGTTTATCAAGCATCTTACCAAGGGTCTCCTTGGTTTGAGCGGGTAGACGAAACACAAGGTTGGAGTAGGAGTCGTTACTAGAACACCCACTGGAGCTAGGACGGAGTTTAGATTCTTTCCCACCCGACCCCGTGCTCCCGGAGATATTGGTGTTCACCTTGAGAAGACATTTGTTTGGGTTTTCCTCCTGTGTGATCTGAATCTGCATCACTAGGTTTCTCATGCAGGGAACCTTATTTCTTAGGGTAAAGGAACAGTGAAGGTTAGGGTTACTATTGACCCAGAGATGGCTAAAGGGAACCTCCTGGATATTAGCTCCTGGCTGAACTGACCAGCCCTCGCATAGCCGGTCTAGGCATAATCTTAAATTCTTCCCTCCTGATTTCAGGAGTGTAGAGACAGGTTTATCAAGCAACCGACCTCCAAATTGTTTCTCTGTCTCTGTAACAAACCTAATGGCCTCGTCCGTGTCTTGTACGCAGTAGAGGCGGACTGTAAGATCCGATCCTTGTGGATACTCCTGAGCAAACGCTGCTATTCTTAATGATTTAAAGGCAGGTTGGAGTTGAGACGAGTATCCCAGCAGAGCAAACCCTGCCAGTGAATCAGAGACAATATGACACGTGTTTAAGTCGAGTTGAGTATACACACTGGTATTTATATTTTCCTGTCCTAGTGTAACTATTTTCCTCCAAGAGTTTCCATCTGTATCCGAGCTAGCTACTGACACTGTCCAGTTACCATGCCGAAGTGAGGCAACGTGAGGGAAGGAGACTATCACAGGCTTCTTGAGAAGTCGTGTAGCTTGAACAGGTCCACATAGAACTACAGGACTGAGCAGGGTATGTCCGTCCTTTGTGTCCGGGAATGATTTTGTATCATGAAGAACACTGATATACATATCCTGGGTCTGTCCAGGACTGATTGCTCCCTCCGGGACCGTTAATGTTATTCCTGACTCCGGTAGGGTTAAACGTGCTCCGGCACTGGTGACCGCGGTCCACTTGGTGAATCCGGACTCACACAGCTGGTTGCACGGAGGAACAGAGGAACCATTCAGAGTTCCAGGACTTCGGTCAAATGTTCCTGCAGACCGGGGGCTGATATTTCCTGAAACAAATATAAATATAAGTATTTAATTCCATTTATACCATGTTAAGAACTTTTGAGCGCAATATAGATAGTTTAAATCGGTTCAGAAGAGCTCAACTCGATCTTTTTTCAAGCGGAGGTCAATGAGAAAGGAAAGAATGAGTTTTTATTATTCTAAGCCGAGTTTGTTTAAAAGTTTCCATCTCTGATTGAGTAAATAGATTAAAACAACTCTATATATGTTTCCATCTCTGATTGAGTAAATAGATTAAAACAACTCTATATATGTTTCCATCTCTGATTGAGTAAATAGATTAAAACAAGTTTCCATCTCTGATTGAGTAAATAGATTAAAACAACTCTATATATGTTTCCATCTCTGATTGAGTAAATAGATTAAACCAACTCTATATATGTTTCCGAGATCAAAGGTTGGAATGAAAAGAAATAATATTTAAGTATAAAATCTTAATGAGATTTTCCCTTCATTAGTTTTCGACAGATTTAAATTATCAACTTCAATTACCTTGAGCAAATATAGCATAAAAATGTGGACATGATTTTAAAGTATCTTTTAGAGATTTTGTCATCATAAAAATCATAAAATCAAGTAAAATTAACTTTTCCTAGTTTTAAGGGACTGTAGTCGGGATTTTAAGAGACGCTGCCTTTTACACATCTGAGCAAAATATAAATTTTTCAATCAAAACATTTTTGATTTCAAATTGTGGTTTCACATACAACAATTTCTTACTCAAGGTTTGTAGACAAAGGTGTGAATCAAGCAAAGCCCCTAAAAATTCGCCCAAAACCATTTTAAATGAAAAAAAAGATAATAAAACTCTCAAAAATAAGTTTTAAACTACATTTAATTGATAAAGACTCAAGAGCCCTGATATTGATAATTATTTTTGAGTTTCTAAAAACACGAAAACTTCTTGATTTATGAATATTTGTTTTTACCTCCTGTAGAACTGCTTGAAGTATCTGATATTAGAGGTTTAACTATAGAATCTACCGGACTTCTACTGGGTAGAAGAACCATGGGTTGCTCGTAGTGGTGCTCACTTGCTGCTCTATATCCTCCCTAGATAATAATAATAATAATAATAATGATAATAATAATAATGATAATAATTTAATAATAGTAATAATAATAATAATAATAATAAGGAGAGAAAATTGAAGACACAATAAAAAAGTTTGCGAACAATTTCAGATTATGATATCCGGTCCGACTTTAACCACAACCCCAGATAGCTCCGTTTAACTGTGTTACTCAGACTTGTACAACTTTGCGACATCGTAATTCCAAACTTGAGTTTACACCGTAGTACGCAAAAATCAAACTTTTTTAGTTGCATGAGTTGCATTTAAGAAATCCTGTTTTTTGGAAACATGTAAGATTTCATTCTAAAATGAAGTTCACTAGAATTTTACGAGGCAGTATGAATAAATCCGTTTATTTTTCTGGTTACGTAAATTAACATTGTACTTTACTTCAAAATATTAGTTTTCATCGTTTTCTAGAAATTTTGTTGTCTTAAATGTTCAATTTGAGAGACTAAAATCTGAATTTGACATCCTAATATAAAAATCTTGAATCTGAAAGAAAATTTAAATAATTTCATAAATTTGGAACGGTAAAAATATAAAATTAAAAAATACAAAATGGAACTTATTTAAAACAATTTAGGGTTACAATGGGTTATATATTTAATCTATTAATCTAGTTATTAAAAGTTAAGTATGGTGGAAATAAAGATGCACCTTTTTTAGTTACATTTCATAATTGCAGCATTGTTAATTACATATTTAGGTTGTTTTTTGGCTCCTTTTCAGGAGATAAAATTATCTCTATAACAGTTTTCAGTGTAAAAAGTCAAATGTTAGGCTAAAAAATTTGTTTCTAGAATTTTTCCCTGAAATTAGTGAAGAAGATTTGTCCTGTTTAGGGGGGGGGGAAGATCTGGTTTTTACATTTTACCGGAAATCACAACAATTTGATAACAAACAGACACTCTAATGAGACAGACAAACTACATCCGGTAGATTTCCACACATCCCTGTGTGTGCTTAATGTGCAGCTGTGATTTCTTATAAATCAACAATATTTTTAAACAGGAAACAAGATTTTCTCTCAATTTGTATTTTTGGGTTGAAATACACTGAACCAAATTTATGAGTGCTTTGGAGGGTTTGGGGGTTGTAAAGAGAACTCCGTTCCAAAAGAAAGAGAACCCCGTTTAAAGAAAATTACCACAACAATTTTTACATGAAAATTTCACTTCAAACATTCACCAAACCTTTGATGAAACACAGGGATCGAAATGTTTTTCAAAAAAAATCTGTTTTCAATTTATTCCCAATCTTATCTAGAGCCCGCTCGAGGCGGTTAATTTGTCAAAAAGTTTAACGGATCCATTTCAAGTTTATACTCATCATAGTTCAACCTTTCAGACAGGGTTCATCTTAATGTAATACTAATCAGACCGGAAACCGGGGACAAGGAGGTCAAATTAATGTTACATTTGGAGATGGGAAGGGCCGGGGAAGGGGGGAGGGATGGGAGGGGGAAGCAATATTTGGTTTCCCAAAGTTACTATTATATGTTTCCATTCTGGCCAGTTCAAATATCTTATATGATTTATTTTTGTCAAATGAAAAAGTGTTAAGAGAAATTAATTTAAATTTTTAATAGTTTAGTAAAGGTAATTTTGACAAAACATTTTAACTAGTGGATATAAATAAAACATTATTGGGGGTTAAAAAATCGTATATTCTTGTTAGCTAGAATATAACATTTTATATGAAAATTAAAAAACATCAAAATTTTCAAAGTTCAATTTTCCCCTTTTGTTCACCCCAGACCCACTTTGCCTCCCATGGAGTTTATGAAGAAAGTGTAAAAAACCTACCTTGGACAGGTTTGAGTTTGAATCTGGGTAAGAATATTCATAACACACAGAGGTCAGCTCAGTAGTTACTCCAGAGGTCAAATCTGGACTATACCCAAGAACCTTCTTTCTATTCTGGCTCTCATAGGCTAAACGGAAAAAAATTTTAAATTTAGTATTATTTAGTAAAATTAGACATACATGTCCCTAAAAGAGACGTATGTCAAAATTTAAAATTTATGTCACGGAATGCACTTTGGATTTTGTTAATCAAAATATTTGTTTTTCTTATATTTTATTTTATTTAAATAACAAATGATTTTTTTTCCTTTTTCATTGTATATTTTATTGTTTTCAAATTTAGAAACGAATTATATCCAAATAAATCTTAAAAGTTTTTACATTGTTTGAAAAACCCATGAAGCTCATAAATAATGAAATAGAAACTTAAGTTTAGTTTCATATTTCATAATTTCTTTCTTTTTTCTCGCAAAATTCTTTCAATAACTTATCATATACAGGGATAACCAGAAAACTCAGGAATAGGAAGAAGACTTATTTACTCAACAGACTCATTTAACAAAATAAGAGATTTTAATTGGGACTACCTTGCATCAAGATAAGTCTAAAAACCTACAAAAAACGTTATTTCTGAAAAAGTGCAAAAGCTTGAAATGCTTAAAATATCTTGAACATTTTCTACGTTTTTTGCTTAAATTTTCCCTTCCTCCTCCCCTGTCCCCCTGAACGGGTCATGAACCCCAGGATATTTGCAAGTTTGCAAACACATTCACGAGTAGTTTATCATACACCGGATAAATAAACTGTCGAGCCCCCGCCTATAAACAGCTCCCATCCAGCTAATCCTGTCATCATTTATAATTGATTCTTTAAACTCGAAAGTGTAAAAAACAAAAGGAAAATCATAAATATTCAAAAGCTCTTGAGGAATGGAAACAATATGGCTGCTCCCATTATTCCAAACTGGTTTTGAATCTCGAGGATTTTACCTGATTGCGCGAGTCCGTAACCGCTTGGAAGTCGTCTTCGTCTGATGAGGCTAATGGCGACCAGAACAACCAAGAGGAAAACCAGGACGGCCATCGACAACCCGACGTACAAGGCAATTTCACTGCTGCCCAGGTGGGACGCTTCAGAGTCGTCCCCCACAACACTGGGCTCGACCCAGACCCCGTTTGGACACACACCTCCCACACAATTAGAATTTTCGTAATCAACTCCAAAACAAAAATGTCCGCCATTGCTCGGGGTAGGGTTGTCACAATTTCTACTTCTTGATTGAGAACACTCCTGAAATTATAAATTAAATTAACTAATATTCAATTATATTTAAATTCAATTTAAACATAATACATGTGTTTTGATAAAATTTAAATTTAAAATGTTCTGCATGAATAAACAGAGATTGACAGAAAATTGAATTTCGGTTCTTCCCAGCTTTTGTTGATTTTATAAATGCATATAATAATAGATAAACTAGATATTTCAATTATTTGTTGACAAGCCAAAGATTACAAATCTCATTTTCAAATTATGATAAAGGTGGTAACTAAAGTGAAATTATCAGATAGATTGAAAATATTTTGATAAATAATTTAAGCAATATCAACGTGACTGTTGTAGAAATTCACTTTGGCGACCAATGTACAAATGACAAATAAATAAATAACAATATTGGTCATTTGATTTGATTGAAATTTATCATTACCTTAGAACATACTGACCAGGAGGTCCAAGAAGACCAGCCACCGTTTACAGCTAAAATAAAAATAAATTGTTGAGTTTTTTTAGTGAATTTTACATTTAAGGGAAGTTAGTGGTGGAAGGAAGGGGGGTGAGGGGGGAATTGCAATTTTAGAATAAACTTTGTACTTAAATTTCACAAAATGTTGAAAAATGTCAAGTTTGGTATTTTCCAGCTGCTGCCGCTTCAATCATACTTTTCATAAAGAGCATATGAGGACCAAGGTATACCTTTCTGCATATCTACTTAGTTACTTAGGTATATACCTTTCTGAAGGCAGACATACCTTACTTTATACCTTTCTGCATATCTACTTAGTTACTTAGGTAAATACCATTCTGCAGACAGGCATACCTTACTTTAAACCTTTCTGCATATCTACTTAGTTACTTAGCTAGGTATATACCTAACTGCAGGCAGGTATACCTTACTTTATACCTTTCTGCAGCCAGGCATACCTTATGTTATACCTTACAGGCAGGTGTGCCGTACTTTATATCTTTAAGCAGGCTGCAGGCATAACTTACTTTTTACCTTTCTGCATAGCGTGTACTTAGGTATACCTTTCTCCGTAACTAGTACTTAGGTTAGGTATATAACTTTTTGCATAACTTGTGACTTAGGTATTTACTTTTTTTCATAACTTGTTACATAGGTATATACCTTTTTGCATAACTTGTTATATATATACTTTTTTGCACAACTTTTTACTTGGGTTTATGCTTTACTAGATAACTATTTATAAAGTTATATGCCTAACTATCTACTAATTGTAAGGCTAGATAACTATCTATAAAGTCATATGCCTAACTATCTACTAATTGTAAGGCTAGATAACTATCTATAAAGTTATATGCCTAACTATCTACTAACTGTAAGGCTAGATTACTATCTATAAAGTCATATGCCTAACTATCTACTAATTGTAAGNCCCCCCCCCTCAGCATAAAATGGTTCGGACTAGCAATAAAATCTGCATATATTAAAATAGAATGGCACAACATACAACCCAATTCTATATTTTATCAATGTATCGAAAAATAAACAATATATTTTAACACTTGATTCTTTTCTGTATAAATATTAAATTCAATAAAAAATAATTGCACGTCACATATGTTTTTTATTGGAGGAATTTCAGCAGACTAATCTAAATAATTTTAATGATTTAATTATCGTCATTATATATAATTAAATACTCATAACATAGAGAAAACAATTAACCTTATTATAGCCTAGGTACATTTATCTTTACGTTTTCTCTTTTCACTTTAGAATTTCTCTTTTTCTCTTTCTTACTTTCTTTCTTTCTTTCTTTATTACTTTCTATCTATCTTCTTTCTCTCTCTCTCCATCTTACTTTCTCTGTTTAATAATTTCTCTTTTTTTCTTTCTTTCTTTCTTACTTATTTACTTACTTACTTACTTACTTACTTACTTACTTACTTACTTTCTCTCATATTTCTTTTATTGATCTTTGTATTTTTTCCTATTAATTTTTCTTCTTTTTACAATTTTTTTGCAATCCTAATCTATATTTATATACATTGTTATTTATTAGATATTATTGAAAATTCTATAATTTTTTGCAGATTTTTGAGATCTTTTGCACAGTGCAATATTGTTTTAAAATGCAAAATCTAGTTCGCAAATTTAATTTATTCATCGACGAAAGTATTATCAGATGGATTCGATGCTACGAAGAATGAACGAATGGAATAGATAGATAAATAATTAGACAGAATGATAGATAAAAAAATGATAATAAGAAAAAATAGATGGATTGATACATAGATAGATTGATAGATGGGTGTAGATAGATAGATAGATGGATATGGAAAGATGGAGAAATTGGATGAAGCTCGTTAATCCCCTCCTCCTCCCAACCTTCCCATCTCTCTCTTGATGATTGTCATTTAAATAATTTGACAGTCTGTAAAATGTCTGTTTTTAAATAAATTGATTTGATCGAATTTTTTAACCACATTTGCATTGGTTTAAATTATTGATTACTGATCTTGATATTTTAAAGTTCAAATCAGTTTACTTTTGAAATTATGTCAAAAAATTTTATAAATAACGTTTTTATGAAAAGTACATTAACTTCTAAAATGCTTCAAAAAAGTGGTCCAATTGGTTTAGCCATTACGCTGATTATTGAAAAAAAGGTAAATTTGGAACTAAACATTTCTTAAGCCAGGCTTATGATGCCGAATTCCATGTTTAAAATGTGTAAAACATTGTCTGAATCTAATCTCCGACTTATCCACTTATCTTGTAAAAAAGATAGAAGTTGGTTAAATTCTTTAAATATTTTATTGGAATAATAAAACCAGCAAGTTCAAGATCTCCTCCTGGAGCAAAAGATAACAAGGTATTTAACTAATATATCTTGGACTAATTTTACCAACAATAACAAAAAAAGTACTCTTCGCAAATTTTTTTCCTAGACTTATCCAGACATTTATATTTTATATGATTTATAAATCTTTTTTCTAATTAGATTTTTCTTCCTCCTCTATTTCTATTCCTCAAACTATTTCTATCTATATATTTTAATATCGATTTAAAGATTTATCTATCTTTTGATTTTTATTCTTTTCTATCTAATTATATCTACTAGATATCTATTCTATCTATTTCTATCTACATATCTATCTATCTATTATACCTGGACATGAAGAATCACAGTTTTTCTTTTGAATATTTTGACCAGGGCAGGATTTTTCTGAAAGCGGTGTAGAACAGACACGCCCTCTTTGCCTGAAACCACGCCCACACGATACACTGCAGGCAGACCAAGAGCTCCAGTCGGACCAACCACCGGACACTGAAATAATAATAATAATAATAAAAATGATAATGATTTATTTGATTACATATTATTAAATCAAAACAATTTTGTTCTTCTCAATATCTCTTCAGTTAAAGAAGTTATCCTAAACAACATTTCAGATTTCAATTTTTCCTGCAGTTTACTTTAGTTTAACGTGATCATATATCTATATATCTTTCTATCTACTTATGGCCCATATTATTGTAAGTACCACAGTTATCCTTTCATGGCTATCAAATATTAATGTTCTGTTACGAACAGATTTATATGATTTTAATGGGACCAAGTCCTACGCATCGATGAAATTTAACAACCACTGCATATAATTTTCTACGGGGTGTAAGCAGGGGGAGGGATTGGTGGCACTATTCCCCTCTCTCAACACTCTTCTGGTTTTATGCTTGATCCTTTGCTTTTTCTTCCTTCAATTTGATGGTTTTACGGTAGTTTCCCATTGTTATGAATACTCTTATCGATCATTTACACACATATATATTTGTATGTGATCTAAGTATTTAAAAAATAAAAAATCTAATTCCGAACTTTTGAATATTGAAAAAAATCAAATTCATTAAATTAAAGTCTAATAAAATAAATTAGGGTCAAAGCTTTTAATGGATGCAAGTGAGCTGAATTAATTCTCTTCTTATCGTGAGGGAGATATCTCGTCCATTCATGAAACCACGTAGACGTATTTGATCTACTTCTCTTATGCACTGTAGACCGAATTTAAAGAATTTGAGCTCCTTCGCTGAACAACCTACTGCCGGTTCAAATTAGAACCACCACCAATTCAAAGTTAAGACTATGGAAGGATATCTATCAAATTTAAAGCGGCGGCGGCAGGCAGTTCAGCCAGGTCGGCCCTGGATCAAATTAATTAAATTTGGTCTCGGGTAAAGTTTCAGATAAGTGGTTCAACTCAGTCTATGTAGTTCAACTACCTCCCTCTAATCATTAAATCTGGTCTCGGGTTAGTATCCTGTTCAAATCCTATAGATCAAATCTGAGAGAGGAAGTTGTCTGACAGTCTGACAAGTTTAGCAGACTCATGCCACAGATATATTTTTAGATATATATATATATATTTATATATATTTATAGCTATAGATATAAAATATATCCGTAAAATTTCATAACTTTTCTCATTCATTCATTCGTAACATCCATCGGTCTCAATTCTTCACGAAAAGTCCTTTGTTATAAAATGTTTAACGCTATAGCTATGGAAAGTTAGAGGTATCGAGATTTCAAATGAAAGTCGATTTTATAAGTCATAAAATTCGCAAAAGTGATTGGCAAAGCCCCAATGCCTTCTAGACTCAAAGTACGTAGATTTAAAAAGAATTCTCTTTCTCCCACCCCCCCGCAACTCTTAAAAAGTATTTTCAGTGTTTTGAATCCCATAAACAAAACAATCTCCAGAGGATTCAGATTACAATGATTCGTAAATAAGCCATGAATTGTCTATAGTCTAAACACAGAGAAATATCTATCTATTAATTTATCTATCTTTATTTTATCTAATTATTGATATATATATACATATACTAATATATATATAATATATATAATATATGCATAATATATAAATATATATTTATTTTTATCTATGTCATCTATATAATAAAACAAGACATTCGTATATATATATATGTGTTGCGTATAGCCGGTCAAACGGCTAGACCGATTAGGCTGAAATTTTTTGTGGGCACTCAGGGGTGGCCGGGGAGTGTTATATGCGATAAAAAATTCGAAATTTCGTTTTCAATTTTTTTTCTAAGCATTTTTTTCACGGGCAACGCCGGGCCCTTCAGCTAGCTTCTTATAAAACAATTGGAGACCCAATAATAATCTTTCCCTAAAGAAGTTAGGTTATTCAATTATTCTCCTTTTTATTTTAATCTTAATCCATTTTTTGCACCATCCCGTTTTTTACCATTTTGTTGCACCTTCCCTTTACACTCCCTATATTTTACAGAACCTGTCCGTTTGACCAATTGGCCAAACTACCAACATTTTCAGGGTGTGGCGAGGGGTGGGGTCAGGATTCTACGTTTAGAAAATTGGCAAATTTTATAGGTATTATCGTGAAAAGATTTTATCATTTGTATCCTTAATTGTTTTCTTATTATGAAAAATGTTTAAGAAATAACTAGAATTATCTTAAAGTTGACAAGAGTCTTTAGAAACAAATTAATCATCTGTTGTCGAAAAATAAACAAACTGTCGTTTTAAAAATGTTTAAAATTCCCGACTATTATTCACTCTTTTGTCAGAAAACATTCCCTTCATCATTTTAAAGTCGCAGTGAAGCGATAAGCCGGGGTGATGCATTGGGAGACGTTTTACAAGAACTCTTTTTTTGACACATGTGTATTTACTGACTTTTAGTATCCCCCCACACACCCCTCTCCTTGGACCCCTCCCACCACCCTCCGCCCCCTGATGGTATGTAAATGAGTTCATTTTTCCCTCCAAAGTTAGGACAGGAAAAATATGTATTAGTCAGCTGGCGTTTCCTAGGCTGTCAATCTAAAAATCAAACTTTTTATAATTCTCGTTTTTTTTTAGATATTTTTAGATGTTTAGATATTTGGATAGTTACCCTTATACAAATAGATTTTATTTTAGGGCTATGTGTTGGAAAAAATTGATTTAGGGGAACTTTATAAAGAGAACAATAGGGGTAGGATTTGGAGGGGGCAAAAGCATCGTCGCCCCCCCCCCTCCTCGCCAATTATTACACCCAAAATATTGCTTATCCAATGAACTTGATCTAACTATAGGTTTAGCACTGTATACAGATTAGCTGTGGATTATTAAACTTGAATTCACACACTTCAAGATTATCTTTCTCTTATTTCATCACACATTCGCACACGTATATAATTTCTACCCCCCTCATCCATTCTCATACAAACACAACAAACACACAGACACCACACAAACACACAGACACCACATAAACACATCACCCCAATCATGCCCCTTTCTCACATGTTTAACCCCTTTATATTGTTGTAATGTCTAGTTCTCATACAGAACTAGGACACTTGTCTTAACTATTTATCTATCTATCTATCTATCTATCTATCTATCTATCTATCTATCTATCTATCTATCTATCTATCTATCTATCTATCTATCTATCTATCTATCTATCTATCTATCTATCTATCTATCTATCTATCTATTCATCCTTCTATATATCTATCTATTTCTCTATTAATCTATCTGTCTGTTCACCTATTTGTCTGTTATTATATTAATCTATATTCCTCTCTCTGTTAGTTTGTGTCTGTCTATCTGTCTGAATATCTTTTAATTCGTCCTCCATGTCGTGAATATAATATAAAAATGTCGGAATTGTGGAGACGATGATTTATCTTGAATCATGTTAGATTAAGCTGATCTATCATTCTCCTTAACTTTTTATAATAAATTCATGCGTTTAAAGGGACTGTATGACGTTTTGTTAAGGTACCCTCTATTCAAAAAAGGCGAGTCCGATCCACAGTACAAATGTGAACTTATTTCTGATCTAGCATAAATTAGATATCTTTCCTTTATTAGCTGAAAATTGATCATTTTCTATATGATTTCTCTGTAAACGTCTCTTACGGAATGAGGCCTCAGATACATCAAGAATTAGGACATATGAAGATGGAAAAACAATATCTTTATCATTGATACTTAGACAAGGGTTTAAATTATGGTATAGAGTTGTGAATCGGGAACGCCCCTCTTAAAATGAAGGGTCACTAGAAATAACGTGTTCAGTCCCTTTAAGAAGCTTAGAGTTTAATGTATCCAAATTCTTAAACATTAGTTTTGATATTACAGTTTTATGGGTAAACAATTTTCTTATCCCTGGTATTCAATTCCTCTCTGTTTTCTGTCAAGATTTGCAGAAGAAGTACCCCGGGGCCTGTAACCTAAGCTCAAGTTTGGGGGATATAATGTAAACAAATAGATCCGGTTCTACTGGGTAGGGTTATAAACAAATGACATTTAGTCAAATTTGACTCTTTTTAGTCTTTTAATAATCCCACACTTTTTACAGAAATTTGAGGCACATTTTGACCTTTTTTAAATAGTAACGTACTTTTCAAATAATGCATGGGACATTTCAGATTTAAATACAAGAAATAAATTTGTAGAATTTAGAGGGTTACCGTTAATAAATAAAGCAGGCGACCGAATTTAACGTTTAAGAATTTTGTTAAAGAGATTTAGGTCTCCATAAAAGTCTAACTCTTTTAGAGGGAAACTCTTATTTTAAAGTGTTTTTATCTAAATTCAGACGAAAAGTTAAAATTACCGTATATACTGAGTTCTGCTGGTTTACTGAGTCGTTTGCCCGCAATATTCTCCGCTACGCAGGTATAGTTCCCGGAGTCCTGGGTCCGAGCTGATACTAGAATAAGATGACCCTCAGCTGTAATTATATAACTAGGATCCTCCTCGTCGATCTCTTCTCCGTTCTTTAACCAGTAGATTTCAGGTTCAGGTTTTCCCTTCGGAGGATGACATCTGATCTCAACCTGCTTTCCTTGCTGGCTCTGGTCCGAGTATGGAGGAACCTCAAACTCTTTTCGTAAATACGCGATGGTGACGTACGCGAGACGGGATTTAGAATGACCCTGTCCGGAGACTGCAACGCAAGCACAATGATAGTCCCCGAAGAATTCTTCCACCTGATCCCGGGTGATCTCAACGGCTGCCTGTGTGAACCGTATTCCGGTCTGTGGGTCAACATGGTCCTCTGTGCGCGCCTGCTGCTGCACCTCGTCATTGCACTGGAAATGAACACTGAGCGCGTGCGCGACTTTACAATGAAGCTCTGCGGACTTGGACTTTACTACAAAGTTATCTTCAGGTTCTTCAAGGAAAACCGGAAGTGCATACTGCGCTGGGTCTCCGGAAGGAAGAGCATCAGGAAGGAATTGACTCTTTAGATCTACTTCTCCCTTATCCACCTTATCCACTGATGCTGCCCCTAGAACAACGAGAATTAATGGTTGTAAATTTAAGAATAAACTTTTACTATGTAAAATGGCCACCCGTCGTCTTTGTGTTTAAATCAGATAAGCCGACATGGGCGGGATATTCTTTCCTTAATAAGAGAGTTTTATTTTTAAGCAAATATATATAATTATCCAGGGGCGGGGATGAGGGAGGGGGAGGGGAAGCAGAGGATGCTGGATATCTAACTAGGTATGAAGCTGTCTAAAATGACCCTGGGAAACCTGTAAACTCTATAAATTTTCTCTCCACAAAATACACTAAATATATATACAAAAAGAACAATGGATAAAACCAAACTAAAAACTAAAAATTTGAAGAATAAAGAGATAAATTTGACCTGAAGTTTAAAAAGTCAGGATTTTAAACAAATGAGTAAAATAACTAAGAGGTTTGGGGTTAAAAGGAGTTAAAGATAAAATCCCAAAACGGCGGAGACGGGAGGAAACTTTTTAGTTCTTAAAATTTTCCAAGACGCGTTGAAATAGGGCATGTGGATGGGAGGGGGGGAGCGAAAATAATGAAAGGGGT